GTCTGCATGTCCAACTTCCTTAGGGACCTGTTGTCAGGGACCCTGCCTAACTGCTAGATACCTGCAGAAGAGATGTTATCCCTTATGATGTCTGCATGTCCAACTTCCTTAGGAAGGTTTTGGCTCTCACCCCTGTCCTCCTGGGATATTGAGCTCAGGACCTCTTCTGTGCCTTGTCTTGTGGAATTCTGTGCAGGATATGGGAAGCACTAGACACTCTGCCTTGGCCTTCATTTGGCTATGCTTCCTGCCGCCTCCCTTCTTGGGTCATCCATCAGGAGAGAGGGTGCTTACCCAAACAGGGTAATCAGTCGCCTGTGAGTTGGGCATGCAGGCCTTGCATTGGGTTCTCCCTAGGTGTCTCTTCCTGTCCCCACCCTAGCTCCCACCCTAGTCTCTGGTTGGACTGGTTTTGTTGCCATGGGTGGGGATTAGAACTAGAAGGTGGCCTATGCCTGCCTTCCTGCCCCTCAGCTTGTCTGATTGAAGTTAACAGCTGGTCTATAGAGGGAAGGCTTCCCCTCTTTGGTTTCACTTCCTCAAAAACTTATGGTGGTGTTTCTTGGCTCTTCACTGACTTTTAGGGGGAAATAGTGTTTTTCCTTATAAGAGATGGGTTAACAAAAGGTCTATTGTTCAGTGGACCCAAAGGCCATTCTAGTATTTATGTGGCCCTGGCTTAGGCCTATCCCATCTTAAGTATTTCCCAGAACAAAACCTGCTCTGTGAGTTGAAATCATTTATCCCAAGCTGTTTTGTTTCGCTCAATCTGAGTTGGCAGTGACACCTGTGCTTACTTTCCTGGGCACTGAAGGATTTCCGTAGAGGCCTAGAAGAGCAGGAATGTGTCCTGAAGGATGAGCCTGTGTCCCTCTGAGCTCTCTGTGATATCGGGGCTCTTCTCTCCTCATCAGTACACCTTGGAAAGCGGGGCAGATCTGTTGTTGGCCCTGAAATTCTTGGTGAAGGACTTGAAGGGGAACAGGAGACCTGGCAGGTCATCACCACAGCATCTAGGATGAGTCTAGAACTGTCTAGCAAGGAGGTAGTTAGTCTATATGGCAGGTGATGGTACCCAGGTGACAGGCCAGGGCTTAAGTCCAGCACAGGTGATTATAGAGCCCCATTGGCACACTTCCTGTGTCCCCATAGAGAACATTGGGAATTGAGAGTGGGAGGTGTTGGACGGATACATAGGCACAGAGTGTGCCATCCACAGGGAGAGGACTGAGTGCTCTGCTACTGCTGCTAGCGGTATCTAAGCCTTTATGCCTTCCCCAAGGTTCCCATGGTGTCTGGTGTCTGGTGTCTTCTGCTTGCTTAGGACAAGGCTCTTGAAGATAACTGCTTAATATTTACAGGGTGCTGTTGTCCATTTACTGAGAACACGTAGAGACATTGGGGGCAGTAATTGCTGAGGGGTGTGGCAGGGCCTAGAGTCCTGGAAGCTGCAGAGGGCAACCACTCTTCCGTGTATATCACAGCCATCTGGTCATTTTACCATTAGCCAGCCACTCACTAGCTGTCCAGAGAGTATGCTTCTCCAAGGTAGCTGCAGTTACGATGTTAGGGACCTCAGCTGCTTGGGCATTTCAAATAGCCAAGTGGGTTGTTTTTACTGAACAAGGCTAGCCATCCACCCAGAGGACTGTCAACTACTGCATGTCAAGTGCCAGGCAGTAGAATGGCCCAGTCATCACAGCAATTCCTTTCTTGTCTCTCCAGCATGTGCTTTACCACCTAACCAGCAGGGTTTGTTAACCTCACCCCAGCACACCCTTGAATGCTTAGGGGCATACTGTTTTTCAGCTTGCCAAGACAAAATAAACCAGTGCTAAGAAGGAAGAACCTTGAGGCCTCAGCCATTCTCAGTGAGGCTGGGGCAGAGTGCCTGGTTCCCACACTGGCCCTTGGTTATTGGTGGGTGTCAAGTGCTGGGCTGCACTGGTGGAAAATGGGTTTCCTTTCTACCCAGACCCATGTGTCCCACACTTGGAGCTTGAACTCCCCCAAGACCTTTGCTATGCCAGGAGAAGGAGTACACTCAAAGAGAAGGTTCTGGGTGTCGGTGTCTGGAATGTGGGCTTGGAGACATGGTTGCCCAGCATTTTGTGAGGGTGAAGAAGCCATAAGAAAGCTAGAGCAGTCCTGCCTTGTATTGGAGCCTGGGGGCTAATTCACTTGTAATCATTTTTTAGAACCAATGATGCTTGGCCACATATCAAGATTGCCTCTGCTTTTTCACAGAGACATAGCAAGTGGTGGGAAAAGTTGAGTATATTCATTCAGCAATAGAGTCACTTGGCAAATAAATTAGAAATAACTTGGTCTACTGTGTATCGTAATTATTTTACAGGTATTTCTAAGCCTGTAGTACTAAAATAGATAAGCTGAGTACAAGCCAGAAGGCACTTGTAGTTTAGTCACCCTTCCCTCTAGTAACCTCAACCCTCCAGTGGGGATCCTGTTACCCCAGAGTGGAGGGACAGCCTGGTTGGTGCAAACAAGCAATTTGCATTTGTTTTCTTTTAGTACGTTGTCCTGGATAGGCAAGGCAGGCACTGCTGAATGAGGCACACACCCCAAAGCCAGCCTTTTCAGGGGTCTGAATCCCATTTTTGGTAAAGTGGATGCTGTGTCTTTTGTTTGCTGTGAATACTGTCCATCTGCCAGCCTCAGGCTCCAGGCCTCTCAGTTCCTAACTGTCAACGCCGTCTGTTACCACTTTCTCAGAGTGCATAGGCCCAGCTGGTTTTCACCTCATGAGATGCCAGAACACATGCCCCTTTCCCTGGATGCCCTCTGTTAAGAGACACTTTATCTTTATCGTCTCACAGCAGGGCAGTGGTGCTTGTGTGAGGGTAAAGCTGGACTTCTCTCAGTGTTAGCAGTTGGTAACTGGCAGTGTGGGCTCTGAGTTAGTTCTCACACTTCCAGTTCTGCTAGGCTGAAGGAGGCAGTGAGCAAAGCAGGCAGGTCCCTGTTCCTGTGAGGAGGGAGAAGGTAACTGTAGGACTAAACCTACCTGTGCTGGATTGGCATTTGGGAAAGCCTGGTGTTGCCCTCTGAGGAGTAGTCCCTGTGACTGGCTACAGCAAGAGCAGAGAGCCCAGACAGGCAGGACCCCAGGTCCAGAGAATGTTAAAAGACTTCAAGGGCGGTGACCTGATAAACAGTGTCCATCTTGCTCCTAAATGACAGGAAACCAAAGAATGGTTTTACATGGGACACTATGAAAGGCATACTCTTACTGGATAGAGAGCAGTAGGGTCATAACACCCCCCCTCCCCTGGCCAAGGGCTTGGCTGGTGGTGAGGAAGCAGAAGAAAGTAAGACCTTCTAAGGTCATTTCAGGGGCTTTGCAGGTCATTTCAAGCCTGTGGGGTTCCCAGTAGATAGAACAGAGGCAAGACCCTACTTGTGAGGGTCCTTTGCTCTTTTTCCGTGGTAGAGGAGGGGATGATTTTTTTTTTTTTTTTTTGAGACAAAGTCTTGCTGTGTAGCCCAATCTGGTCTTCAAGTTGCAATCCTTTGCCTCTACTTTTTGATGCTGGGATTCCAAGTGTGGTGTGCACCACCTCACCCAACCAACTGCATAGATAGATTTGGGCCAGTGCTTACCCTAAGGCAAGGGTAAGGACTGATTCTTACAAAGAGACTTCATGACCCATTGCTTCTGAGCCCAGGGTATGGTCATGTTCCCAGTCTGACCAGCTTCCGCCTTCTGGCTGCTTTCATCTCAGCCACTGTGGGCCTCGGGTCCTTTCCATCTCATACTAGGACTTCATTTCAACGGAAGTGGTTGGTAATCTAGGGGTGTGTGGGTGTCTGCTGTTCATTGCTCGCTAGCCCTGGCTACGGTTATGTGAACTTCACAGCTTACCCAGTCAGTAAGATATCAGGTGGGGGTGGGATGGGGGGGGGAGGATCAGCACCAAGACAGCTTTGTCCTAGCCATGCACTGTCTGTCCCTGGTCATCTTGTGGTTTGTTCCTCCGGTGTTCCTCTGCCACCTCACCATCTTATCAGTACCTTCAGTGATCTGCTGAAGAAAATTTTTAACATGGTGGCATGGATTCTCTAAGTGAGAATTTGCTTTTTTGTTTGTTTGGTTTTTTTTGTTTAGCCCTGGCTGTTCTGGGACTCACTTTGTAGACCAGGCTAGCCTCAGAGATCCTCCTGCCTCTGCCTCCCAGTGCTATGATTATAAGTATGCACTACCACACCTGGCTTGAGAATCTGCTTTTAATTCTTTGGAAATTATGCTTTGATGCTACAAGGTTAAGGGTTTCTGTCACTGGCAAATGATACCAAATGTGTCTGAAGGAGGTAAGCTCTATGCTCATTGCTCCTTCTCAGTTCTTCAGTGATGGCTCTTTCCATGATGCTCATGAGGCATCAGACTGCTGGGACAGTATAGGTAACCCAGGGCTTTCTCCTTTTCAAGGCAACAGTTGCCCCACATGGGGTCAGAGGGCAGGGTCCACTTGTGAAACAAGGGCAGCTGACCCCATATGACTAAAATGATTGCTGTGCGCCTGAAGGAGAGAGAGCCAGTGGTTGTCTCCATTGTATCTATATGAGACACTTGAAGCTGAGGAGGAAGACTGGACGTTTTGGAGAGAGGACAGTCAACTGTAATCATCATGGAGACAGGGCTCAGGGTGAGCCAGGCTAGAGAGACCAGAAGTGGACATTGTGGTGAGTTAGTTGGTCCCATTGCCCCAACAACATAGAAAGAAGGACTTGCTCCTGGCCCTTATCTGTGATGCACATGCACACTGTCTGGTAGAATTTGTATTCACAAGCCCTTCTCTTCTGAATCTCTGAGGTCAGGGAGCATTGTTGATTTAAAAAAAAAAAATGTCAATAGTAAGTGTTCTACAGATGTTCATGGGGTAAGAATACCTTTCTTTGTGGCCCTGGAAAGGTCTTAGCCTTGCTTACCCCTGGCCCAACCATGTTGTCACCCTGGGACAGTCTGCAGCTGTCACTGGCTGATGACTGCTGTGCTGCTCACAGTCCTCAACTTCACCTTCATGCACCTGAGTGTCGTGGATGTTGTGTGGTATCCCCTCAGGAACCTGGAGGGAGACAGGAAAGAAACCAGCTAAGGGAGCAGAGTCGGGTCTATGCCCAGGACGAGAGATCTGAAGGAGTGCCGTGTGATTGTGGGGACCTGTAAAGATTGTGATTTGAAGCCACAGAGTTCTGTTGGGGCCTTTTGTGAGCTCCTGCTCTGTTTGCATGGGATCATACAAACTCGTTTCAAGAGTGCAGCTGAACTAAGAGTCTCCTTCCATCTTGATAGTGTGGCTTACTGCACCTTGCTACTTCCCAGAGCCTACGTGGTAAATTAGCACTCAGAAACATCAACCTCCCCAAACGTCCTCCTTCCTTGTCTCTGTCCTGGCATCCTTGTCAGGAGAGTTGGTTCTGGGCTTCCCTCTCCCTCCCTCATTTGTGGGTACTTAAAGTTCAGTGTCCTCATGTACAAAGTAGGAACTGTGACATTCACAGGACACCAGGGTGGGACAGTGTGGTGCTCAAAGACCCTTGCAGTGTTCTGTGCTGATTACATTGCAGAGCCAGGACGTTGCTCATGTATTTGGGGACAGTGCCTTTCGGTGGATGTGGTGAAACCTATGGATCAGTGTTGAGGCCTCACTCGGATGAGATCCAGGGTGCGGTTGTCAGTGAGCACTGCTCTGCATTCCTAATGGACTAGGCTCTTAGTGCTTTCAGTCTTCCAGATGTCAGCTCTTTTCTGGAAGGCTTATGTGTTCAGTCTCTAGTGCTCGGCTATATTCGGGGATATTAAGAGAGCCATAACCAACCAGTCTGTGATCTTAGCACTCAGGAGGCTGAGGCAGGAGCATTTCAAGTTCAAGACCAGCCTGGACTCTATAACCAGAGCCTATCTTAGACAAAAGCAAACAAAACAAACAGACAAACTACAAAGCTGGCTCTGGTTTGTCTTGCTGAGCACTGTCTCCTGCAGCGTTGAGGAACCCTCTTTTCCCATGCCTTGTGTTGGAGTGGTCTTCTGCTTCAGATTCCAGAATGCAAATCTGAGAAACACAAAACTAGTGCCCAGTATCAGCAAGCAGCTGCCATAGTACCAGGATTAGCCTGGGGATGTACTCTGCCACTGAGCCCCCAACCTCTATATTCAGTTCTCCTGAGATGCATGCTTACGAAAAGTCTGAAAAACAAAAACAGGACCAGACCCCACCACGCAAACCTAGGTGCATTCATCCCAGTTTTGGGTGTGTTTACTATTTCAGCTAGCTGAGAGACTAGTTCCTGCATTTTACCCTTGGAGGTTTTTACTGTTCCACTCTTTCCAGGCAGAAGATGCTTTTCTAGAACATGGAAGGAAAGTGTGGGTGGGAGCACCCAGTGAGCAGAGTGAATTGGTTGGGTCTGTGAGTCAAATCAGGGTGGCTGGAATGAGCGGCTGTGCCAGATGCAGGGTGTGAATCTGCCCTTGAAGCACCTTGAGCCTCAGAGTGCCTTCTGTGCCATCTGCCCCTAATTGGATGGAGTATTAACTGTTCTTCCTCAGTTCTGTGCCATTTGAGACTCCAGGAAGCTATGACTGTGATTCAGAAATAATAGTTTTCTTGTATGCTTTTAAAGTGGCCTTGGGACAGAGCGGGCTTTTCGTAGCCAAAAACAGTATTTGGTTACTATCTGTGAATGACCTATTTTTGTTTCTTACTCTTAATAAAAGAGAGAAAAGGCCGGGTGTTGGTGGCACAAGCCTTTAATCCCAGCACTTGGGAGGCAGAGACAGGCAGATCTCTGAGTTCGAGGCCAGCCTGGTCTACAGAGCAAGTACCAGGCTCTAAAGCTATACAGAGAAACCCTGTCTTGAAAAACCATGAGAGAGAGAGAGAGAGAGAGAGAGAGAGAGAGAGAGAGAGAGAGAGAGAGAGAGAGAGAGAGTGTGTCAAGGTGGTGTATAGAACACTGGGGTGGCTTACAAAGAATACAGTCACTGAACTCTGGCACCTGGTGTTTGTAAGTGTCCTCGGACACTGTCCCTTCAGTCCCCATATGCAGCTTCTGAGGTTTTTTTGAACATTACTTGTCCTCACAGGAATGGTTTCACATGACTTTTAGCTAGGTTGCTGGTTAAAACAGAATAACACTAGCAATACAAAGCATGCTGATCGCCAGTGACCCACTGCATGAGCTCCTGCCCAGAAATCAAGGGACTTCCAGGCAGAGCATATACAAAGTCACCCAGGTAGCCCTTCTGTCTGTCTCTCATGCCTGTTTCCCTGCCTGTACTGTGTACCTGTGAGCTGTGCTGTGCTGCTGACCATGCACAGCCCACCAGGCAAGCCCAGTGCTTCTTGGGCCTGGGCTGAGACAGGACCCCTGCTGGGCAAGATGCCCAGAAGTGTGTGTAATGGTGTAATTTTAATACCCTGGAGAAAGGGTACACATCTCTTAGAAGGACCCCTGCAGTTACCTAAAGGTGAGCCTGACGCTGGTGACCAGAGGGCAAGGCAGAGAAGAACCAGGCACCCAATCTCTGTATTACCAGGAGGGTGCTTTGCTTGCAAAGTGTCACTCCCCTGGGTGATAGTTGAGAGGAGAGGCTGCAGCCCTGACCTAATGTGCATCTATTATAATAACAAGGGAGGGCCCAAGTCCCCCTTACACTCCTGCAGAAGCACACTTCACTTTTTTTATTTGTTTGTTTGTTTATTTATTTTGAGGCAGGATTTCTCTGTATCCCTGGCTGTCCTGGAACTTGTTTTGTAGACTAGGCTAGCCTCAAACTTGGAGGTCCACTTGCCTGTGCCTTTGGAGTGTCAAGCAACTTAGTCAACTTATAAAAAAAGGAAAATAATCTCTCTCTCTCTCTCTCTCTCTCTCTCTCTCTCTCTCTCTTTCTTTCTTTCTTCCATTCTTTTTTGGTTTGGTTTGGTTTGGTTTTGGTTTGGTTTTTGGTTTTTCAAGACAAGGTTTCTCTGTATTGCTTTGGAGCCTGTCCTAGAACTCACTCTGTAAACCAGGCTGGCTTTGAACTCAGAGAGATCCACCTTCCTCTGCCTCCCAAGTGCTGAGATTAAAGGCATGTACACTTCACTTCTTAAAACTAATCCCAACAAAAGAACCTGATAAAAATCTCTACCTATGAGGTCTAGGAAAAGTAGTGGATAGGAGCAGGATGGGAGGAGCTGTTCCAACCAGGTACCTAATGGCATTAGGAGCCTAAGTCATTTTCTGTGGCCATGGCAGTGTGTTGGACTGAAAAGCACAGGAAAATTTATGACTGATGTTTTGGATCTGAGGTTGCTTCCTGAGTTCTAGAACTGGGTAGGGATTTGGATAAAACATTTCACAAGAGCTGTTAATTACTGACACCAAGACAAGGCACATGTGGGGAATTGTTAGACTTTTTCTGGTGTGCGTGTGCATATATTTGTGTGTGTTGGGTGCATTTGTTGGAAATTCTCAGTTAAAACCTTGAAACTAAGAAAGCAGATCTAAAAGTGCTCCTCTTCTGCAGCAATGGCACATGCACCCCTGGGCAGCAGTGGGTGAGGTGGGGAGGGGAGTGCTATCAGGGCAGACCACTGGCCTAACTTGGAAAATGGTTGCTGGGCCCACCAGGTCTGTCTGATCACTGTGCATGCTCTATTTGGTATCTCTTGTAGTGTTTCATTACCATCTTACAGACAATGCTTCAGGTTGCCGCACTTCCACCCATCGGGTGTCTTTTAATAGGAAATGCTGCATGGCAAGCTGCTGATTTGAAAATTCAGCAAAACTGTTTTCTCAGTAAACAGTGGTGGAAGACACCTCTAGCTTTGGTTGAAATGTCACTCTGCTTTCCCAGCTCAGACAGAGCTCATGAACAACTTAAAGGGAGGAGCACAGGTGGTTTCACTGCGGCAGCTGGTGCTCGTGCAGATGCTGTCTTGTATGATATGGCTTGATGCTGGCAACTCTGTTCAAGGTCCCATTCTTGCCTTGTAGACTGGGCTGCTGCCATCCGTGTCGCTGCTCTGGACTGTGCAGAAGAAAAGAACCAGGACGTGTGCCGCACATATGACATCCACTTCTACCCCACCTTCAGGGTGAGCCCCCAGCAACCTTGACCTCTGCTCCAATCCTGCCTTTTCACAAGGGACTTTTTAGGCAGAATTCCTGTACCAGTAACTCCTAGGTTATCATTTCTGGCTTGGAGTCTAAAAACTTTGTGGGAATTTGCATGCCCAGCCTACTACCCCTTTGTTCCTCATCTTGAGTCATAGAAGGCTGATCAAGATCCAGGTTTTGTATAAAGTCCCTGCTCACACAAAAGCCTGCTGGCTGCCTATCTTTGTAGGGTATCATGCTGCTTGGTCTCCTTTTAACTGGCAGAAGGCACCAGCAGTGTCCCAGCACAGCTTGAGCTGCAGTTGGCCCTGCCTACAAACTTGTACATGTTTCTTCCACTAGAGGGCAGAGATACCATGTGCGACCCTCCCGAAGGCCCACTGCTTATTGCTCACACTCATGGGCATCTCCAAAACCATGTAGCCCCCTCTTCTCCCTCCTCCCTATCCTCCTCCTCTTCTTTCTTTCCTCTTCCTCCTCCTCCTATTTCTTCTTCTTCTTTTTTTGAGACAGGGTTTCTCTCTGTGTAGCCCTCCTGGAACTCACTTTGTAAACTAGACTAGCCTTGAACTCAGAGACCCACCTGCCTCTGCCTCCTGAGTGCTAGGATTAAAGGTGTGTGCCACCACTGCCCAACTCAGAGATAATTTCTGAAGAGCCTGTGACCTCCAGCTCTCCACTTCTGTCCTGCTACTACTGTGCACTGTCAGAGGCAGGACCCAGCACATTGGTGTCCCCTGTGTTTCCCCACCCATTCATTGACTGGGCTTTGCTACCCTGTAACCACCTGGCCTCCCAGTGTGATGCTCAGGGTGGTACCAGCCCCAGGGATCTCACAGGCCCTTGTTGCTTGTACTCTTTCTTTCTAGCCTTGGGCTGATAATGTTGCTCATGTCCCTATTTTACTTGGCTTTTTATGTCATACCCTCTATTAAACAGTGCTGTGTATAAATGTCTGGGCCTTATTTCTAATACTTCAAATGACTTTGCCAAGATTTGCCCGTGATGCTGGGCACTGCTGTGGCTTGTTGGGTTTGACTGTGCAGTAATGCCTCATTGAATGTGATGGCCCTCTCTGCTGAGTATTGGGATATCTTCTGGCTGTTATTACATGGATCAACATTGATGTGCCACACACACACACACACACACACACACACACACACGTTTCCCTGGCTGGGTCTGGGAAGAAGGCCAGGGGACCCAATTGGGCCAGCCCCTCCCACAACATGACACATCTGCCTATGGTGCAGGGCAAAGTGCCTGTGTTCCTTTTCCTAGTGACAAGCACATCTGTGTTTTTACTCTTACGGGACTGTTATATGTCTGTCTACTTTCTTCTTGAGTGTTTCTGCTTCCCCCACTTTGTTCCAGGGAGTCCCCTGTGTGTCTCAGCACTGGTCTCCTTTTGGGCTTCATTGGGAACACTACCTATCCTCAACTGTATTGGTGTGCTTCTGGTGGGGCAAGTCTGGTCAGAAGCTCTCATCTTCTCAGAGGCTCTGGATAGCCCCTCTTCCCTTGGAACCTGTGCCCTCAAATGCTCTTCAAGGGTAACCACCTTTATAAGGATTCTACCCTAGTGAATTGTCTTGCTTCAGATCCTGTTGGACCAGAAGTGACATAATAAAACCCAGTTGGTACTTAGCACAATGTTCCACACATCTGCAAGAACGCTAGTGTCCATGGAGGCATGGGACATGCCTTGTTCAATCAGTGTTACTTTGGGAGGGACTTGACCAGAGCTCCTGGTTGAGACAGCGGTCATCTTGTTTAAGTATTAAACATATACACAACTCACCCAGACTGTTTATTTTTTGTGTGTTTTTCCTTCAGTATTTTAAAGCATTTACAAAGGAGTTTACAACAGGAGAAAACTTTAAAGGTAAGGACACGCAGCATTCTATTCTAATCCCATAGACTGACTCACTCAACCTGGTAAAGTGGATATGGTCTCAGCAGATGGAGCCCAGGGGCCCTCTCCCTTCAGTCAACATATTTGCACCAGTGCTGCCTGACTTTGTATTAGAAATTCAAACTTTAATTGTTTGTGTGGTGTGGTGATGTCTTGCTTGTACAAATAAAGCCTGTCTGAAGGTCAGAGAGAAGGAGCAAGCCACCGCCACAGTGTGGGAGTAAGATTTTTGTTGTTGTTTTTCAAGACAGGGTTTTTCTGTGTAGTCCTGGCTATCCTGGAACTAGCTATGTAGGTAGACCAGCCTGGCCTTGAACTCACAGAAATCCACCTGCCTCTGCTTCCTGAGTGCTGAGATTAAGGTGTGCATCACCACCACCCAGCTAAGATTTTTTTTTTATTTTAATTACATGTGTGTGTTTGTGTGTACACCTGTCTGTCCTTGGAGACCAGAGGTGTCAGACTCCCCTGGGACTGGAATTACAGGAGGTTGTGAACCATCAGACATAGGTTTTAGGAACTGAATTTGGTCCTCTGGAAGAGCAGTACATCCACTAAGCCATCTCTCCAGCCACAGAAAATTGTTTATTTTGTGCTTTTGCCCTTCTTGAGAAATGTGGTAGTACCTTTTTTATTATAACTTTTATTAAGCTTGTACTTTGGCTATTTCATACATGTATATCCTCCATTCTGGTCGTTGTCATTCTGCACCTTCCAGCCCCACTCCCTGTTACCTGCAGGTCCCTTCCTCACCTTCATGTAGTAACAAACTTTTATTGAAAAAGTATCTAGTGGAATAATTATATATATATATATATATATATATATATATATATATATGTATGAAAATATAT